AGTGTTTGGCTGAACTGATGGAGGGAACAATTGGCACCAACTTGCTGCTGAGTCCTTTCCTGCAAACATCCCTCAGAGTATCCCCAACTTTACGTAGACATCTTCCTGGAACTGGTTTCCATGGTGACCATGTTGAACAGTGGTCTGAATCAGGTGGAGGTTTGTTCTAGTTTCTTATCCAGTGTTTCTGTGTTGCAGTGCCTCTACGGCTGCTACGTCCATTCCTCCATCGTTCCCACATTCCACAGACGGTGCTACTGGCTGCTGCAGGTAAACGCCTCCAGGAGGTCCGTGTTCTGAACCCGTCCCAGTAGAACCCAGAGCTTCCTTTGTTTACTGACGGTTTGATCAGAAGGTTCTGTAGGTCTAGAACCTGCAGCCAGCATGTAACCAGTTGCTTCTCTGAACAGAACCCGGACATCGTGCTGGTCCACTACCTGAACGTGCCGTCACCAGAGGATTCTGGGAAAAGCAGCCCGCTGCTGTGCACGGTGTCTGAGCGCCATGATGCCCTGAGGTGGAGCCGGGACGACCTGCTGAGCCAGCTGAAGCCCATGTGTACGGCGCCCAGCAGAGCCCACTTCCTCCCAGTGAGCGGCGTGTTCTGGTGGAGCTAATGTCCTCTCTGTTTCAGTCCACAGCATCAAGTGCTCCATGGGTTCTGGAGACTTCAGCATCGAGGAGCTGGTTCAGCACATCCTGGACCGCCAGAGGAGCAAACCGCAGCCCAGAACCCACACCTGCCTCTGCAGCACCAGTCAGGGTAGGAGGCGCTGCCGTGACATCACGGTGACATCATGACCTGTCCCTGACCTCCGTGTGCCGGCTCTGTGTCCTCAGTGTCCTCAGGGGTGAACATTCCCCACCACTGCAACTGCACCAAGCACCGCATCATCTCCCCCAAGCTGCCGCCGTCCTGCAGGGCCGCAGAGTCACCGCTGTCCTCTGAGACGGGGGAGACAGGCAGGGGGGGAGGAGGGGGAGACGGCAAGCTGCCTCACCTGCAGGCTCAGAGCAGCCCGGCTTCTTCTCCCAGTCCTTCGTCCACGTAAGTCTGCTGGTCTGCATGGTAGCAGGTAGAGACGGCCTCCATCAGCTGGATCTCTGGACCAGCAGGAGCTTCTGAGGAGCTCATGGTGGAACCAGGGCAGCAGGAGGAGGAGCAGGAGGAGGAGAATCCAAGCTCAAAGTCTCTCCTCCTGCTGGAGCAGCCTGGAACCAGCAGGACCTCCCCGCCTCCAGCAGGGGGCAGCAGAGCAGCTCCATAGATCTGATCTGACTCCTCTCACCCAGCTTCTGCTCCACAGGTCCGGCTCCTCCCCACCTCCCGCCCGGGGGGCAGCCATCACCATGGGTAACCGTGGTAACGGTTTCTACAACAGCCGCTGCAGTAACCTGGCCACCGTATCTCTGCCTCAGAATGCTGTCATCGTCATGGCGACCGCCGCCGCCATCCCAGGAGGAGGGGCTCCGTCCGAGGAGGCGGGGCAAAGGAGCAGCTTTGGCCCGCTGCTGCTCTCCCC